CGTTTCCCGCCGTAACTGAATTCGCAATAGAGCCTGAATACAGCGATTTCAGTTTGACAACTTGATGCTGCGACCATTGATAGTTCGCAATAAGTGGCATCATTATGTCTATCTTACTTGTTGCACAACATGTATTCAACACACTTTTCAGTCTTAAAGTATCAATAAACTCATATTTTCGTTGAAATAATACTTTATTGTCTCGAATTCATTTCAAACATTCTACTGTTAGCACAAGAGCATTTAATTCTGTTGGATTTTTTTTTTATCAAAACGTAAACAAGGTAAAAACAATATTTATTGCAGTGACAAGGACAGAATTTCATGAAAAAAATCAAAATTATTCCTTTTTTGTCAGTCCAAAGATTAAAATTGATTTTATTGATTTGATTTGGTGGAAAGATATAAAAGTTGTTAGCCTTCACAAATTGGGGCCTTGTGTAAATTAATCCAAGATGGCGTTTTTTAGTTGGGGCTACTCACACAATCCAATATGTCTAGTTTTTATTTTGGAACTCTCAATTTCTGATCTTTTCAACTAAAATTCAATGGAAATTAATACTGGTGAGACCTTGACTTGAGCAAACTGACCATCAGTTGTCACTATTGATTTTTTTGCAATGAATATTTTGCGTATTAAGTAAACATACACTAATAGAACTAACAAATAACAGTTTACACAAACAGAAATCTATGCAGTTCGTGGTTACGTATGAAAAATACATGATTCTCTTAACTATTCTATTCCAGTGCAGTTAGAAATTCAAAAATGTCGAGCTGGAGTGACGTGATGAACCAAATGCTTGCTGCATTCGATCGCCAAACAACGTGTTCTCTCAGATTAATTAAAATGGCACTCAAACGCGATGGTTTATCGTTTAATGCTGAATTCAAACAATATTTTCTGCAAGCTTCGAATACCAGGTTAGTAAATCAGTTTCAAATTCGATTCGATTATTTTATTTATATACATTTCAATCAATCGTAGAATCAAGGAAACTTATGATCAGTACGAAATTATTTCAATGTTCGAGGACCAAATTAACGTTGGTCCATATGGTACGTCAACGACTGATATATTCCCGATGATGAACTCAATTTACACCAGAAATCATGACTTCAACAGCATTCGAAACCAAATGGATGATCCGGTTGAAATAATCGAATCAAGCGACGAAGAAAATCAACCAGGATATCGGGTCAAAATGGAAACACCATTTGGCACTCAGTATAATAGTCATGGTGAAATATTTCAGTTGAATGATTTGTTTAAAAATGACGACGATAGAAGCTATGCTGACGAATTGCCAGAGAAGAACTTAATTGGCATTGATCACGAAGAGGTTTCGAAGAGCGAAGGTCAAGATCGTATCAGAAGGATAGCTGCTAGCAGAGTGAAATTAGATGACAACATACCGTTGATTGCAGTCAATGATTGCGAAATGGACTCAAAAATTAGACATACATCCACTATCACATCGAGTAAGGGATTTAAGCTTGTTGGTGGTGCCCACCTTAACCGAGCTGAATTGGGTTTGATTCTACCATCAACAAGGAATAAAAAATCAAATTTGTTGAACAGAATGGAGATGAAAAAGCGACTCAAATGCCGAATTTGTGAACATTCCTGCGAATATATGTCCCACCTCAATCAGCACATGCGTACTCACACCGGCGAGAAGCCTTTTCGATGTGACATTTGCCGCAAAGGTTTCACACAGTTGAATAACATGAAGAAGCACAAAGTGACTCACACCGAACAAGTTCCCTTCCATTGCCGCGGCTGTTTCACTGGATTTTCCCAGAAGTCCGACCAAGCAGCACATGAAAAAGTGTGCAAATCACGTCGATATGAATGCCATTTCTGCAAGAAGTTTATCACTGTGAATAAAAATCAGTTGAAGGAGCATATGCGAACACACAACGGTGAAAAACCGTTTCGATGCGAGATTTGTATGATGCGTTTTACACGGAAAGGAAATCTGAAGAAGCATTTGGACACCACACACCAGGATCAACGCATAAATTCAATCGTTTAATTTAGTTTCGTTTTGAATTGCTTTCAAAATACAATCTTACCTCTATGTAACCCAATTCATTTTCGATTTTCGTTAAATAATTCAGTCTAATTGAAAGATAACAGTCAGTCTAATTGATATTGTTGATTCATTGAACCGAATGAAAACAAATTGTAGCGGTAATAAGATCTTTTTGTTTCAAATAAAATGAAAATTCCTTAACCAATAATGAATTGGATTTATTTATTTTATTATTCTTCAAATCTTTTATCACAAACCGACGTTTTGGCCACTAATTTTCAAAAAGAATCTAGAACAGCATTTAACAAAATTCGCCGCACAGCGGATTGAACGTGGCGAAAAGTCATTCCTTCATGTCGTCGTATAGTCAATCGTTTCGTACGTCACAACGTGTTTCGTTCATTTCATGAGCTCCGTGTGATATTATTTAATCAAAAAGTAATAAAAAAACCTGAAAAAACTGTGAGAATACTATTAGACATCACTACTTTCGACTTTTCCAAGAGATTAAAAGGTAAGGTTTGCTGAAAAACTTCATAGTTTTATTAAAATTCCACAAAGGTTCCGATTTCCACAAAGGTTCCGATAGAAATGGAGATGGTAGCAATGGACTGGAAAGCGGAGATGTTTAAAATGCTGGCTGTGTTCGAGCACCAGGCTGTTCAGTCTTTGGCCAACATAAAACTGACGTTCAAACGCAATGGTTTTGCTTTAGATCCAACGTTCAAGCAATACTTTTTACATGCTTCCAACACACGGTGCGTATAATTTCCTTCTTTTTTTTTCCTTTTGAATTCTAATAAATTAAAACATTATGCTGTAGATTGGTGGAAGCGTACAATCGATTTGAAATCGCTTCGCAAGTCGAGGACACAATATTCAATCAGTACGATGCAAATGTCTTTGAAGCAGCATACTCCGACGAAGTAAATGAACAACCAGAAAACAAAGAATCAATACAGAAGATTGATTTGGTTGAAATTGATGACACAACCGACGAAGAAGGCACAAACGAAATATCCTGTCATGCCACAAACACTTTGTTTCAATTGGGTCGTGGACCGAATGCAACGGCATACATCCCGGGTGGTCAAGCAATTCAACAGAAGGGAAATGGCAAAGCGATCAGAAATTGTACCGAAACTCGTATCGATTCGACCATCATCAAGAGACGATGCACAGAACCAGAAATCAATTCAATTGATGACGATCATCACAATGACGTTAGCGACCATGATCCTGTCATCTCACAAACTAACCAACTTGGAACCATGAATAATTCTCGTAGCAACTTGGTGATTGATCGAAATGCGTTGAAGGCGTCGAACGTTGTTGTTCCCAATAATGAAGAACTGATGACAAAGAAATTCAAATGTGTTAATTGTGAATACTCCAGTAATCAGAAAAGATACTTTGATCGTCACATGCGTACGCACACCGGGGTGAAACCATATCGATGTGATAGATGTCCCAAAAAATTCACCAATAATCGAAGCCTAAAGAGACACAAAGCGACTCACATCAACGAATTTCCATTCCATTGCCGTTGCTGTTTCAGTGGATTTTCCCAGAAGGACCAAAAAGAATACCATGAAATGAGGTGCAAATCACGTCGATATGAATGCCATATCTGCAAGAAATTTGTCACTTTAATTAAAACTAACTTGAAATTACATATGCGAACGCACAACGGTGAAAAACCGTTCCGATGCGAGATTTGTATGAAGCGCTTCACAGCAAAATGTAGTCTAAAAACACATCTAGACACCATCCACGCCAGAATCAACCATTAAAGGTTCTCATTCATCTTTAGAGCATTCTCAACGTTTTTTACATTTATTACAGTCTTTAACTCAAAACAGCGTTATCACCGATTTATCTGAATTAACTGCAGAAACCAGAGAGATAAGAATTCTTATGTTCCACTAGAAGTTAAAGGAAATGAAAAAAATGGCTCAAAACATTGTTTAAACTTAAAATGACTTTAAAATAAACGACCTCAAATGTTCATATACCATAATCAGTTCCAATAAATTTGACCAAGATATTTGATAAGAAAATTCTATCATTTAATCCACTGATCGTGTGGAAAAAATCGTTAAAAATAAATTAAATTTTCAAACCAATTTAATTGACTCATAAATCAAATTTCGCTCGTCTATCGACGTAATTGATTTCGCTGTATCTAGCGCTGGAAGGCAGCGAATTCTTTTTGACAGTTTGTTGCTACTGCACAATCATTCCTTCTATTCCATTTGTTGTACAACACGTTTTATTCTGAAACCATTAAAAGGGAAGAAAAAAAACTTAGATTTTCATCGAATTAACACATTAGTATCTTCAATTCATTTCAAACATTTCACGAATCGTATAAGAGCACTTCATTTTGTATTTGGAATTTATTTACAATCAAGCGCGAAAAAGGTAACATCCAAAATCATGTGAAATATCGTCTAATGCTACAAACTAACATATTCAAAAGACCCTTGATTCTGGGAGAAGCAATAGAGTTTGGCGAAAATTAATTTTGACAAATTATGTACTTCTTTTCGATATTGTATTGTCATTCTCTTAACGTCTGTCTTGCTTTGTGTCTTACACAAAGGACGCTTCTCATTGATTTCCTTAATGATATTAAATCAAAAAGAAAGATACTAAAATTTCAATAAATCTAGAAAATACTTCTCGATTTCTCTATTTACGATTTATCCAGAAAGAGTGCCGCTTCGGTAAATGACTCAGAATAAAATTCTTATTTGTCGCTGATTTGTCGGAGGAACGAAATAAAAGGTAAGCGTATGAGAGGCGTGTAAGACATTTGCAAAATCTATCATGCCGAGAATCACGCCTAAAATTGGAAATGTTGACATGTGGAGCTTCGTTTCTGATTGAAAATACATGGCGAGTATATTTTTTACCCAAATGACCTGATTGTGATTTGTTCGCATTTCTAACCTAGATATGGATGCATCAACAATGGACTGGAAAAGCGAGATGCATAAAATGCTTGGTGTGTTCGATCGCCAGACAACAATGTCTTTGGCAAAAATTAAAACGGCCTTCGAACTCAGTGGCCTATTGTTTAATGCTGAATTCAAGCAGTATTTTTTGCGCGTTTCAAACGATCGGTGAGTTATATTTCAAACGATTGGTGTGTCCTTTTCAAATCATTTTTAATTTTAATTTTATGCAGGATCAAGAATACGTATGATCAATTTGAAATTAATTCAATGTTGGAAGACCAAGTCAATGGTGGTCCAGATGCAAACATGTCAATGGCAGTTAAATTCGGGAGTGCTGGCTTAATTCATAGTATGGACGATGCCCAAAACGAAAACAATAGTCCAGTGGAAATCATTGACTCAAGCGATGAAGAAGATCAAATCAAAATGGAACCTTTCGGTGTCGGATTTGGTATTCAGTGCGATAATAATGACGAAATGTTTGATTGGAACCATTTTTTTCAAACTGACAACTATGGCAGCTATTCTGTTATGCCAAACACAAATTTGCGCGGTATCAACTACCCAAATTATGGTGCGAAAATCGAAGATGGCGACGATATAATAAATGAAACTAATACAGCAACGAAAGTGGTAGACATAGAAATGGACGATGGCATTTCAACATTTGTCGGTGATTTGGACACAACGAATGAACATGCCACATTGAATAATGGACGAAGCATCTTGGGTGGTGCCAAAAGCTTCAAAAAAGGAGGACGATTGATTGGTTGTTCAAGAAAAGATGGTAACTCGCGTTCGATTCCAGAATCATTTCGAAACAAAACATCAATTTCATCAAAGCAGTTAGGGGTGCAGAAGCGATTCAAGTGCGAACTTTGCGAATATTCCGGTAGATACAATAGTATCCTAAAAGAACACATGCGTACTCATACCGGTGAAAAACCATATCGATGTGATATTTGCCGCAAAGAATTCACCAAAATGGCTAAACTGAAGAGGCACAAAGTGACTCACATCGAACATGTCCCGTTCCATTGTCGTGGCTGTTTCACTGGGTTTTTCCAGAAGGCCGACAAAGAAGCACATGAAAAAGTGTGTAAATCACGTCGATATGAATGCCATATCTGCAAGAAATATGTCACTGTAAATAAAAATAATTTGAAAGAGCATATGCGAACACACAACGGCGAAAAACCGTTTCGATGCCAAATTTGTATGATGCGTTTTACAGCAAAATCTAGTCTGAAGAGACATTTGGACACCATCCACTTCAGAATCAATCCATGAATTCAATCATTCAATTCCATTTTATTCATTACTGTTAAAATAAATCTACCATTTCAACAAAATCATTATCTCTCTAACTTGATTGTCACTAGACCTTCTAAGAATATCAATAATAATAAAAATGAAGAATCCAGAAAAATTGCATTATTATTGGCATCAACAGTTTTCAGGATTGGAAGATTATTTTATTTTCAACAGAAATATGAGTGAATTGCTAGAAGAATTGCTAACTATTTTCTTAATTTGTATTTAACGTCCAATTTTGGGCGAAAGATATTCAAAAGTCCGAGCAGAAAAGTGAATTCGTCGCAACGGAGTTTGGCGAAAAACTATTTTGACATGTCATGTCATCTTTTCGATATTGAATCGTCATTCTTTTCAACGTCGCTTCACACAAAGCACGTCCGTCACTGATTTCCCTAATCTTACATGATATTAAATAATCAAAAAGCAAATAAAATCGCAATAATTCTTCTCGAAATCACTTACTATTTACGATTTATCTAGAAAAAGTGCTAATTTTTTATCTAGAAAAAAACCAGAAAAAGATTTATTTGTCGCTGATTTGTTGAGAGATCGAAAGAGGTAAGAGTAAAAGTTTCCTAACTATGTGTTTTTATTAACATACCATCGCCCAATAGAAGACCGTCTCTTTGATGATCCAAATAAAATAAATTGTCGTTTAATAAGCACGAAAGTAAGGGCACCTTTTTGCCAACACGATAACATGCTAAATCTTTTGACTAAGGTCCATTGGACGCCATTAAGAACAAATTTATTACCGAGCTCGGATGAACAACCGAAATATTTCACTCATTCTAATTCATGTCTTGAACCGTTATCTATTCCCTTTCCCAACGTATATGAATGCATCAGCAATGGCCTGGAAAAACGCGAAGCTCAAAATGCTTTCAGAATTCGAACGTCAAGTAATAATTTCTTTGGAAAAAATTGAAATGGATTTCAATGACAATGGTTTATCGCTTAATGATGACTTCAAACAATATTTCCTGAGAGCCTCGAACAACCGGTAAGTTGGAAATTTTATTTGATTATCCAATTTTTAATCCATTTGCGTTAATCATTCGTGTAGCATCGAGGAAACTTACGATCAGTTTAAAATTGATTCAATGTGGAAGAACAGCGGTAATGTCAACGCGAATGTGAGAATGTTGGGAGCTGATGGCCCAGTTGAAATCATCGACTCAAGCGATGAAGAAGATCAGACAGAAAATGTGGTTAAATTGGAGTCGCCAGAAATGGTATCCGGCATTCAAAGCGATGGTAATGCCATACCACCACAATTGAACGATGATTTTGAATATGATCGAGACTACATCGAGGACGTGCTAAACTTGAACCTAAACTGGTACAGAGACGCTTCGCAGAACAAACAAGATTGCATCGAGATAGAAATGGACACCGTAATGAAAGTGGAAGAAAAAGCCTTCAATGGACACGGCGATATGGACTTGACCAACAAACGTACATCTCCTGTCTCCGTAAGCAATGAATCAAACAAGGTAAATGATTCAAAAAGATACATCACGAAAGGAAGATCTTATAGACGCCCAAGAAAACAGATTGCATCCGGCTCGACGGTATATGTATTTGGGAATAAAAACTCATCGAACCCTATGGACACGAAGAAGCGACACAAGTGCCAACTTTGTGAATATTCTAGCAATCTCAGGGCCGACGTTAATAAACACACGCGTATTCATACAGGCGAGAAACCATATCGATGTGATATTTGCCGCAAAGAATTCACACAGTTGCATCACATGAAACGGCACAAAGTGAATCACATCGAACAAATTCCGTTCCATTGCCGCGGCTGTTTCGCAGGATTTTTGGAGAAGGATGAAAAAGATGGCCACGAAAAATGGTGCAAAGCACGTCGATATGAATGTCATATCTGCAAGAAGTATGTCACTTTGAATAAAAAACTGTTGGAAGTGCATATGCGAAAGCACAACGGTGAAAAATCGTTTCGATGCGAGATATTTATGACGCGAAAAAGTAGTCAGAAAACTCATGACGGACACCGGCCATAACGAAATCTAGCACTAAAGGTTCTAATCTATCTTCGGATTCGATCTTCGTTTTTAAAACAAACTTTGAGAAAAATATAAACCAAATTCCAGTGGATTTATATACCCTAAAAATACCACAAAAACTGTTTATTACTTAAGAACAAGCGTCAAACAAGTTAAACAAGTTTTTGTGATCATTGAAATTATTATAAAATGTTGACATCTATCCATTTCCATTTCTACTTTTCCAATCATTATTTAAGCTAAAAATAAATTCAAAATTTATTCACACAGACGAACTGAATGTTCACATGAAATAATGAATTTCATTTTTGGAGTAGTTTATGATGTAATTTGATAAGGAATTTATTCATTATTTGTGTATGAACTTCAAAAATAAACGATATTTTCACATCCATTCAATTCGCCCAAGAAGCAAATTCTTTTTGTTGCGGCAATTTATTTCGCTGCGTCTTGCACTAGAAGAGAGAAGATTCGTTGTGACAGCTTGCTGCTACTGCATAATCGTATTTAATTGCGCCATTCCTTCTATTCCATTTCTTGTACTACACGTCTTCGACACGTTTTATTCTGGAAGCATCAAAACAAAAGAAATAAACTCACATTTTCATCCAAAAAATACTTTGGCGACTTGAATTTACTGCAAACATTCCGTTATTCGCATAAAAACATTTCATATTGTCGGAATTTATTTATCGATACTTAAGAAAGGTAAGGGCATGTGTTGCTAACCAAAAAGAAATAAAATGGCGTCTAGAGCAATAACTTTTATTTATATATTTGCAACAAGCTATGATTCTTAGAGTTTGAATGTGAGAGTTAGAGTCTGTGTCTTACAAGCTCTGGGCAACTGACACTAAATAGCAACTTACTTTCAATAGCAGATATAGATCAGTTGGCTCTAGCAGTGACCCGAATGTGTATAATTGCCTTCATTAGTGCTAATCAATAAACCGATTTGGTTGTATTCCATTCTAATTTAGTTACAATCGTACCGAAATTATGCTCAAAGTGCCACACAGCTAGCGCCATGACGGAATTCAATGTAATCTATACTAAGTTGCCGCCAACTAATGAAAAGATTTTTGCTCAGTTACAAACAAATGACTAGAACTCCATAGTTGTACGTAATAGCGCTAGCTGTGCTATAGTTTGGCATTTTATACAGTCTCTTATGGAACATAATTGCAGTGTGGTTACAATCCCGACAATGATGAGCTGGAGAGACGAGATGAGACAAATGCTTACTGCATTCGAACACCAAGCTACAATTTCTCTGGACAACATTAAGCGGGACCTCAAACGCAATGGTCTTGCGTTCAATGCTGATTTCAAGCAATATTTCTTGCGTGTTTCGCGTGAGTAAAATCAGTATTCGTAATTTTGCAATAATAATTCATAATTGATAATTGTGTGCAGGATTAAGAATACGTACGATGAATTCGAAATCAGTTCAATATTCGAGGATGTAAGCACGTCAACAACCGACGAATATCTGAATTTATTTCATACCCCAAGGTATGACATGAACAATACACAACAAACCACCAATGAGCCATTTGAAATCATTGACACAAGTGACGAGGAGGATGAAGCACCGAAAATGATACGTGCCATTCGATACGATGGCCATGGCATATCAAAAGAATTAAACGATTATGGTCAATTTGACTACGATGAAAGCTACACCGAAATGTCAGATATGAAATCAAACGTTTTTGATTATCAACAAGATGTTTCAAATAACAGAGGTGAATATCGCATTCGAAATGAAATAGACAACGCAATGAAAGCGGATGAAATGGAACGGGACGATGGCATTCCGATAGTTGGCATCACTATGGACACAATGGGTCAGAACACATCAACTGTGAAATCGAGCAATAAATCAAACAACGTCATTGGTGCCAAAAGGAACAATATGAAAGGAAGATCCGTTGGACATCCAAGAAAGCAAACTGAATCATTGCGACGTAAAAGCTCAACTTCCTCAAAACTAATTGACACGAAGAATAAATTCCAGTGCCACAGTTGTGAATATTCCAGCAATCACAAGGGAAACTTCAATGTTCACATGCGTACTCACACTGGTGAGAAACCGTATCGATGTGATATTTGCCGCAAAGGATTCACAATAATGCAAAACATGAAAAAGCACAAAGTGACTCACACCGAACAAATTCCGTTCCATTGCCGAGGCTGTTTCAAAGGATTTTCCCAGAAGGCTGACAAAAATGCCCACGAAAAAGTGTGCAAAATACGTTGATATGAATGCCATATCTGCAAGAAGTATGTCACTTCACAAAAAAATAGGTTGAAAAAGCATATGCGAACACACAACGGTGAAAAACCGTTTCGATGCGCAATTTGAATGAAGCATTTTAAAATGGAAGGATATTTGAAGATTCATTTGAACACCATCCACACCAAAATCAAACCATAAATTCATTTCCATACAATTTCGTATTTTCGTTCACACAATGAATTCGTAACTGAAAAAGACACTTAAATTGCCATCTTCAAATTTAAAATATTTTCTCTGTTTATTGCTTTAAAATCGAAATAAATGTCAACGAAACTTAAAAATCATTAATTTTTTTCTAATTTTATGTTTTCCATTTATTTTCTTCATCTAAATTGTTGAATTCGAATTTTGAAAAAGTCATAAAGGCGCCGAAATGAATTCGTCGCAAAGCAATTCGAATGCGGCGAAAAAACTATTTTGACGTCGCCACAAAACAGCATCATCATTATCTCACCAACTTTCTTTGTGCAAAACACACTCATATATTCATTGCGAATTTTTACAATCTATACGACATCAAGTTTAGTTGAGCATAAAATACAAATATTTTCTAAAAAGTTTTAAGAATAACGCTGAAGCGCCAGTATTTTTACAACAAAAATTCCATCATTTGTGACACGCCACATTTAATCGTTTTAATACTCACCGCAACTGAATCAAAGGTAAATTATAGAATTTGTTGACAAAAAACTAAGATGCAGCGCCGGAGTCCGACAGACCCGTTTTGGCACTTCTCCAGCAATAGTTGTTATATTTCTCCGTATTTCAGATATTCTTTTCTAATCAGACAATTGAATCGGAATTTCTTGTTTCCTTTTAGGTGGAAATGATAACAATGGATTGGAATGAAGAGATGTCCAAAATGCTCAATGCATTCGAGCATTATGCGTTTCAGTCTTTGGGAAACATAAAATTGGCGTTTAAGGGCAATGGCTTTGCATTAGATCCAACATTCAAACAGTACTTTTTGGACGCTTCCAATGCTCGGTATGTATTAATTCTTTATTCTATATGCCTTTGAATTCGAAAATCATTTTCAAAACATTTCTGCATGCAGATTGGTGGAAACGTACAAACGATTCGAAATTCATTCACGAATTGAAGACCAAATGATGGACCAACGCGATGCAAATATGTTACAGAATACATTTTCCCAACAAATCGAAAATGATTTCACTCAATTCAGTGATCGATTGAGAAACAATGGACCGTTCCAAAAGACTGACTTGATAGACACCGATGACGGAAGTAATGACAATAGACATGCAACAACAATCGATGAACTGGATGTCAATTCCCAGATGTCTTTGTTTCAATCCAACCTGGTTGAACGCTTAGAAACTTTTCCAGTTTCTGATCATAAGTAAGTCAAGATCGGTCGATGTTATTTTCGAAGTAATTTATTTTTGATCTACTACAATAAATCATTTGATTTCCTCTGATTTGTCTATGTAACAGCAATGTCGTCAAAAATAAATTGAAAATGGAAGATACGGAAGTGGATGACGGCATTGGGGTTGATGTCAATCAAGATAATTGGGCAGCAGTTGTAGAACCTTCTCATTATTCCATTGAGAACACCAAATCTGGTTCAAATATGTTGAAAAATACAACACGGCCATCATCATCATCAAAACCAATGGAAACAAAGAAGCGATTCCAGTGCAAACTTTGTGAACATTCCAGCGATCGCAAGTGGGACTTAAATCATCACATGCGTACTCACACCGGTGAAAAACCATTTCGATGTGATATTTGCCGCAAAAACTTCTCAAGAATGAGAAATTTGAAGCAGCACAAAGTGACCCACATCAATGAAATTCCGTTCCACTGCCGCGGCTGTTTCAATGGATTTTCTCAAGAGACCGAAAGAGACGCCCATGAAAAAGAGTGCAAATCGCGTCGATATGAATGTCATATCTGCAAAAAGTTTGTAAATGTGCGTAAAAATAATTTGAAAATTCATATGCGAAAGCACAACGGTGAAAAACTGTTTCGATGCGAAATTTGTATGAAGCATTTTAAAGAAAAAGGAGGTCTGAAGAAGCATTTGAACACCATCCACACCAGAATCAATGTCTGGTGAAATCAAATGAAAAAAATCTAATAATTTTGCGTTAACCATAAATTTGATATTATTAATTTCATGTTAAAAGTACATTACTTCACAGATGGTACCACTAAATAAGAGTTCATTGAATATTGTTGATTCATTGAACCAAATAAACGGTCATTATTTTTTTTATCAAAGCCGAACCATTTTCGCCGCAGCCATTCAAAAACAGCAGCGAATTCAATTCGTCGCAAAGCAGTTTGAATTTGGCAAACAAATCATTCTGATAGATTAGGGGTTCCGTGAAAATTTGCAGACGACCAAAAAAAAATCGAAAATGTGCTGATGCTATGCGTACATACCAAAAAAAATTGTACATCGCACCGTATGGTCTGGGCAAACTGCTAATAATGATTTTTACAAACTAATTATGTACTTTCATTGTCAAAAATATTTTTTCGATTTTCCCCCAAAACTATTTTATTGGCTATTGGCTATACAAAACTTTCGCCCCCACACATTTTTTTTCTTCTTATATTTCAAAAATGCAATTGTACTATTTAAAAATATATCACTTCATGGGTCATGTTCATTGTGTCGGGAAAAATCCAGTTGCTTACAGTGATTCGTCAATTGCTATTGACACTAAGACTTATTTAGAGTAATGTGCTAGCCAGTATTTGCTGGCTAGCAGTGCTAGTGCGATACGCTCGACGCACGGAAGACGCGTGTCAATGCGAAAGAAGCATTTTATATGAAGCGCTATGTACGCTCGTATTTCGATTTATTTTATCCGCTGTACTTCTGATATGTTCATGATTTTTTT